TCAACACACTATGCTTTCCATACATTAACAAGCAGCAGCTAATGGCTTAATACCACTACCCAAGTCAAACAAAAATTTCCACATCTCAAAAAAATTTTACAAAAGCATTAAGACATACACTATAAAACAAATAACAAACCTAACCTGAAGCAAAAACAAGTTCAAAAAAAAAAAAAAAATAGCTCTCCCACACCCTCCTGTGAGCCAGCAGCAGTCAAGGCTGCAAAGAAAACAAGCCAACCTACAACCTCCTGTGAGCCAGCCAGCACATGGACCAGCAGACAGGAAGAACAGCCCCCAGTCCCAACTCCAGCACTGCTCCAAGCAACAAGCTGATTCAGAAGAACACAGGCTGAGATGATAGCAACTAAAGTAAAAAAATCAACTTGATGTTTGCATTGTTTGATTGATTTTGAAGACCTAAAGGTGGAGTTTGAGTACCTATTTAGAGGTTAACAACAGGCAATACAGCAACTATGGAGGATTTCCTTCAGTCTTGTTTTTGAAATCCAATACTGTTATCACTGTTTTGTTTTGTTCCGTCTTACTATTTTGTTTTATTCCCTTTAAAATAAATAAAAACATAAGTAATTAAAAATAAAAAATAAGGAGGAGAAGAAAGGTAGAAGAGAGAGATGGTGAATGGGGGAAAAAGAACAATCAGGATATATTATGCACAGGTACAAATTCCCTATCATAAGTATGATCATCATGTATATCTAAAATGTAGTAGTAAAATTAATTTAAAAAATTGCATAAAACAAAACAAAACAGGCTGGAATTGTTAGTTCTTGAGAAGAGTCTCAGGAAAAGCAGCCGGGCTGGGGTTGGAGAATGCACTCTGTATTTCTTGGAGAACCTAAAGACTTGTATAGTATTTTAGAAATGACTTAGTGTTTTCTGGAGCCTTGGAACTATCCCATAAATCAGAAAATATAAATCTTCTGCTATGTGAAAAAAAAATTAGTTCCTCAAGGAACAGACATCTAACACTACCAACAGTTTCAAATGTATTGGCAAATATATCTTCCTTTTTAAAGAAGTTATTTCAGGATTAACGATATAATTCAGTGAGCACCTGTTTATCACATGTGAGGCCCTGGGTTTAATACCCATCACCAAAAAAGAAAGTTATTTTAACAAAATAGCTAATAAATGGCTGATGTGCAAATACTAAAACTATTTAAAATACTGTGAGGCAAATAACTATAATATTAATATCTTGCTTTAAAATTGCATAACAACACATTTTTATTTTAAAAATGACGCTCTTTGTAAAAAAGAAATTAAAGAGGCAGCAGTTTTCAATGTATACCAAATGATCTGTCATTTGCCACTAAGATAAATGTCTATCTTTCTCACATTTATTTCTCAAGGAAAATAAATTTCAGGGAAAAAAATATCAAAATAAAAGCTAGGCTTTTAAAAAACAATCACTTTTGGTACAGTAAAACAGAGATTTTTAAATCTTATCAAGTCATATACCAGCACCAATGCTGCAGAATTAAGTTTCTGAAAAGTACCAATAAAGAAAAAGGAAGTTCATACTTCCACCTTTCATCTCAAAATACAACTACCTTAAACCAAAAATCTAAACACCCAGCATGTCAAGAGAAAATTACAACTATACCATAACACAGATTCAGTATAAAACTGGCAAGCTATGAGCAGCCTAATTTTTAAGGTTTGCATTTTGTTCAGTTTATCATATTTAAATCTTCAGATACCACAAAAATATATACTGGAAGTAAAAAGCATTAAACAGAGCCTCATTTTACCTAACTTTTTTAAAGTGATATTTTTTGTTAAGAAAGATAGTTCCCAAAGCATTCAGCATTGTATGTCCAAGGAACCCAGTATTATTTCCTGTGTGATCCATTAACCTAACTCAATTTTTGACAGCATGGCAAAAAATAGGTGTTATCACGAAGTGAAATAACAGGGCACACAATTCCACTCTATTAGCAATATCACCCACCCAGAAGAAAGAGGAGGAAAGGAAATACCAGATTCTCATAACACACTCATTTAGATGAGTAGGCAAACAAAACAACTCCTAAAGTCAAAATAACAAGCTGGTTTTAATAAACTAAATTAGAACTATGTTTAACAAGTTTATAAACTTAACAATTATAGGCTCAAACTCTCACATTCCCCCCTAAATCAAAGCTATAATATGGCACAAAAAACCCCTTCCCTACAAAGACAATATTCTAGACTAAGTATAAACATCCATAGATGCAAAGGAAACCTTACTTCTGTAATATTTACTGAATGTCTGTATCTGCCAGGCTTTAAAATGAAAAGTATAGTAAAATTACACATAAAATGGCATGAGGGTGTCTTCATAAATGTCTTCATATTATACATATAGGTAAGTCATATGACCATATATAAATAAAACGCAATTTTAAAACTGGAAAGAAATGTACAGTTTACCTAACTTAGTCTCAGTAACAATTTTATCATTATTGTTAAAAATCATGTATACTGACCATTTTTTTAATTAATATTTTCCTCAACATCTAGAAATGATTGAGCATTCCAGTCCATATCAATAAAAATTTAACTACCAAAGGTAGAGTATGAAAAAATACTACCTGTATTAGGTAAGATAAGCCACTTAGCTGCTCGTTCCATAGGAAATCAAAATATAAGAGATCAAAGCTAGAAGCTCCCCAAATGGTAGTGCAAGCCACAATGATCTTATACTTCCTCTAATATATTTTGACTTGTTTTAGAAATTTAAAAAGCAGCAATTTAGGCAGTCACCTTGAGAGCTGATGACTTAAGATTCTAAATTTCAGAATTAAAAGTAATCCTGACATTTTGAAAATAAAATACTTTTATTTCCTTTAAGAACAAAAAAGGAGAGGGGAAGATTAGCCATATTATAGGCATTAACACCATCTTCTATCAACTTGGGGGAAAAAAAAGATTATATCTGTAGTATAAATAAGAAAAGTCAGACTCAAGAGTTTAGGCAATCTGACTTAATATTAATTATAAAATCAAGAAATAAAGTTAAATCTCTTGTTCATTACAGAAATCCATAACCTTTCCACTACACTAGTCTCCATATTAATAAAGAAATCATTATCAAAATCTGCACTTTTCCACTACATAACAGTTTCCATGTTAATTGAGAAACAGAGATTCAATACTTTTGAATCCAGATATATTCTGTTAAACATATCAACAGGTGATAATGGAAAGCGACACAAACTGGAAGATTGACTAACAGAAAATCCAGTTAAGTTCTTTATAGGGAACATCCAAACATTGACAACTAAAAGAAGTATTATTTTGGAAAGAAGCCTGAACATACAAAGCCTCAAATAAGGGAATTTAACACATTAAGAAACAAAAATCGTGAACTATTATGGATGTAGCTAGCATTGGTAATACGCAGTTCCCTAATGCTATGTGAAGCTCTGTGTGTGTGTGTGTGTGTGTGTAAATGAGTAGGGCAAGATACCCGCCTATTAGTCTCCCAAGCCAAAGGAAATTAGGAGAAATAAGGAACCTCACAGGGAGTAAAGGTTTGATTAAAAAGCCACCAAACTGGCCCCTTATCAGTTTAACTTAAAGATGTTTGGTAAAGAGGCTATTACTAATTATAAACTGCGTGTCTGGTGTACATCATTCACCAAATAGCACAAAGATTCAGCTTTATCAGAAACTGACAAAGCAAGTACAAAATGGGTTACTGCCTTTCTCAGAACAAGTAGCAAATACAAGGTTCTCCTCTTTTACTTAAACTTAATTTGCTTATAATCATACACTTTTTATATCCCTAGAACCTTTTAGTGTTACACATCTTCGTGTATCAGCATCATGCTACTTCATGGCAGTACAAAATACTTTTAATACTGAGTTTCAGACGAGAAACTCAAAGCAAACAAGGAATTACACGACCCATGACCCGCCCAAGATGGCACTAACCACAATTTTGCTAAGGCTAAACTTCCACAGTTCACTGGTTTCATAAGACGTGCACTCAACTCTCTGTAAATACTAATCTTAGGCACCCTCCAGGTCTATAGATGTTCTACTTTCAGTGCAGATCTGCGGCCCTCAAAAAGTATTTCATAGCCCGACGTGGCGGCGCACACTTTTAATCCCAGAATTCTATAGGCTAAAGCAAGAGAATCGCAGCGAGTTCGTGGCCAGCCTAGGCTACAAAGTGAGTTCAAAGCCGACCTGAACTACATAGTGACACCCTGTCTCAAAAAACTGAACAAAAAAAAGTACTCGTTTTTTCACTCGCTGGAGTGAGGTAATGCCACGTGCAGAGTGTAACATTAACCTTGGCGACGCAGCAGTGCAGAGCCAAGCGGCTCCCGCCTCTGCACTTCCCAACCTGCATCCTTCCACTATTAAGTCTTTCCACCACAAACGTGAGATCCGAAGGGTTATTGGGTCCTTGAACGGTAGACGCAAGTAAAACACAAAACTAAAGAACCGAGAAAAAAAACAAACAGCCACTGAAGCACCGGGAAGATTCCCGCCTCTCACGGGCGCTACCCGGCAGCCTCAGGACTCAGCACGCAGTGACACAAGGGCTCGTTTTCATGGCTTCCCACCTCAGGGTGAAGTTCTGATTTCACCCCAATGCCAAGGAGGGGCCAACCTACTCACGCCGCCACCCCGTGGGCACGCCAGTCTCGAGACGAATCCAGACTGAGACTAAGGAGACACCAGGCCTCTCAACCTACGTACCACGGTGCGGCGGGCCCCAGGCCTACTGTTGCGACCAGACTTCGGATCCCCATCCCAACCACCTCTCGTAGGCCAGTTGTGTCTGGAGGCCTCTGACGACAGTGACTGGCCCACTGACTTACGAAGAACTCTGAGAAATTACCTTCGAACTGGCCTTCTGAGACCCGCCTGGCGTTTTGTCCGCCATCTTGAGCTTTGCCCCTCCTTCGGCGGCGGCAGCAGCACGGGCGAGTCGAGCACCGAACACTGGATCTCAGTGAAGCCCGCCAGAGGCCTATAAGGTTGAAAATCGACTACCGAGATGATGGATTCAAACCGAGCTGCGCCACGTGACTTCCGGTGTCAATAACTTCCCTAGCCCTTCCCACTCCCTTGATTACTACAGTGGTTTTCCTGGGAGTGTCGTTCCCGTGTCGTATTTACATAGTCTCTTTTTTTTTTCCCTTTGGGGCTGGCTGATGTTTCACCTTTTTCTCAGAGCTAACCTTTGAAGATGCGAGCCACTTGTAATTCTTGGGCGGAAAGGAAGCTGGGTTTTTTTTTTGTTTTGTTTTGTTTTGTTTTAAACGAAAAGCACTGACTGCTAAGGAGGAGCGTTTGCTTCAGCTCGGAAAATAGGTCTGGAGCTAATTGGACTTGGGCGCTGATCCGTGCAGGCACTGTTATGCCACCTCGAGAGCTCACACACCGGCATGGAGAACAGATTTGTAATCTGCTCATGTTAAAAGGGTGACTGCTGAGTTACAGCTGTGCCTGACAACGCACAGAGCATGTCACGCAGTCACGGAGTGATCCGATTAGAGACTACTAGGGCGACTGCAGATGGCCCATAGAGAGGCAGTGAAGGGGAGGATCGTAATCTAACATATATGTAAATTGTGTTATTTTTAAAGTTAATTTTATTTTTAAATTTTGAGGCATTCTGTATTGTCCAGGGTGGGCTCAAACGTGGGATGTTCCTGCCTCATCTTTCCCAGTAGCTAAAATTACAGGCCTAGCCACCATGCTTGGCGTACAGTTTTCATTTTTAGTCATATAAACAGTTTTGAACTTAGTACTTTAAAAAAAAATCAATACAGATTTAGATCTGCATTCAGAGAAGGAAAGCTTCCTTGAGGAGGTCATATGGATCCAAACCAAGCAAAGAAAATAGAAAGGGCCTTCCAGAACGAAGAAATACAGGTATTTTTGCTTGGATCAGGGAGGTTTTTGTCTTTGAAATTTGAGCTAGCATTTAAAATTGGGAGATTTGGAATAAAATTTAACTTTTATTTCTTTCAGTGCCAGGGATGGAATCCAAGCCCAAGACCTTCACATTGAGCCATATCTCCAGACCTTTTATTGACACAGTCTTATAAAATCACTAGGTCTCTTTAAGTTGCCTGGACTGAGCTCAAATTTGAAATCCTCCTGCATCAGCCTTCCAGAATGTTGGGGTGGCAGATATAAGCCACTAAAAATTCAGCTTTTCTTGAAAACAGAAAAAGTCTGGCAACACTGGATGACACTCCAGTTAGATGAGATGCAGGAACCGGTGGGGAACAAGGCTATACACCCCAGTTCTCCAGACCTGTACCTGATAACAGATTCCCTATACCTGATTTCCTGGTGGACGTTTTAATTTTCTACTTCTGACATAAAGGCATAGATCTTACCCAGGAGTGATGATAGGAGTATTAACAGCCAGTCTTCCAGGCACCAGGAACCAATTTATCAGCCAAGGAACAGAAGGCTCAGTGTCTAGGATCCACACTAATTTTAGAGGCTCCCAAAATTTCTGCATCTCTTTGAAAGTGGGGGATGGTAGTATGGAGAGAGCTTTTAACAATCCAAATGTCTGTAGACACTGCACACTAAGAGATGAAGACCTTAAAAATGATTACTGAAAGCCAGAACCTGTGATGGATAAAGGACTGCTCTCAGATCATACTGCTTTCATTGCAGAGACTTTTTAAACAGCTTCCCCCTGCTCTCTAGGCTTCCAGATATAGGATGCTGAGCACACAATCCCATCCATCTGCTCATTTGGCATTAACTGCATTTTTAGCATGTGAAAGTCTGAAGAAAGAAAATGAAGAGATAACTAAGATCACATGTAGACTTTTAAAAGAGAGATTTCAATGGAGGAGCAGCATCCAAGGAATGTGTGGTCTGTACGGATTTCCATCCTTCCAGGGAATTTAATTCCCACTTCACACCCACCCCAACTGCCTGCCCTGCAAGGTAAGATTTCAGTGGCAACAGCAGCTTTTCTCCCTTATCTCCTTATTGATTATATTGATTACTTATTGATTATAGAATTCATTACTTTACTTATTGATTATAGAATTACCTTACTTATTGATTATAGAATTCATTTGACAATAGTAGGCAGCTGTGGCTTTTTTATTTTTCTTTCAATATAAGGCTCCGCCACTGAGCTACACCCTCAGCCCTTTGCATTTATTTTTCAGACCAGGCCCAGGATAGCCTAACTTTTATAATTTTTCTGCCTCAGCCTCCCAAGTAGCTGGGATTACAGGTGTGTGTCACTGCACTCCAATAGGAGGGGCATTCCTTTTTAAAGCAAAAATACCTGGAAGTAAATGATATGTAAAAATCATGACAAAAAGTATAAAACCCAAAAATGGGCTGGTGACATGGTAAAGACAAAGTAACTCTTAATTATTGTCTTGATAAAAATAGCTTTGCTTATGTAGCCATTATTGTATCGAAAGTAATAAAAATTACTCCAAAATGGAATACTGCTCCAAATGGAATACTGAGGAAATCATGTGTGTGTTTGTGTGTGTGTGTGTGTGTGTGTGTGTGTGTGTGAGACAGAGAGAGACAGAGACAGAGACAGAGACAGAGACAGAGGACTTGGGTTGCCCATGATGTGAGCCAACAGATAGCAGCATGTAGGGAACCCTCTTTTGCCAGTGGCTTGGTATCCAAAGTTGGGCATGACTTGGACCACCACAAATAAAGCCTCATTTAGCCTATGTGCTCTACACAGTGAAGGGCCCATAAAGCTGAAACTCATAAAACCAAATAATGTAAAAGGTGTGGCAGCACATGCCTATAATCCAAGCACTTAGCGGGTGGAGGGAGGAGGCTTGCCTCAAATTCAAGGCCAGCCTGGGCTACATATTGCTGCCCAGAACACAAAGTGATCTCCAAAAAAGGGGAGCTGGGTCTTGATAGAGACTGAAGTTAGAGAAAAATGAAAACAAGTCTATCGCTCTTATTAATTATACCTGGTTATTAATAACAGGTATAACGATTTAGCTCAGCGGCATAAGTGCCTGCCTTGCAAGCAGGCAGTCGTGAGTTCGATCCCGGTACCAATAAAAAAAGGAAAAAGACAATAAATAAATAAATAAATAAATAACAGGTATAACTACCATGATATTAAGTACATAGTAAGTCTTTCTATTAAAAAAACATGGTGTACCTTTCTTCTTTTGCTTCACATTTACTTTGTATATTTCCTCTTATGTTAATTCTTAGATATTTTATCTTTTCTGTTGGTGCTATACATAGAATAAGGTTTTTCTCTCTTGTATATGTCCCAAGTAATTGTTATTGTTATATATTAATGTGTAATATGTTTTCAAATACTTTTATTATTTACAGCTTTCCAGTTCATTCCCTTAACTTTCAGTTATATAACAGTATTACTTGCAAATAGTTATAAGCTTATTTCCTCCTGCCCCTTTTAAATCTCTTACCTTCTTTGGGTAAGTACATTAGCCAGTCCCTCCAGGAATAATGCTGAGAAAGAGTACTAATAGACAGCCTTATCTTGCTCCTGACTTTAATGAGAATTCGTCTAGTGTCCTCATGATGAGAATAACTTCTGGGTTGCACATTGAATTATATGTTAAGTTTTTTGGAAACCATAGAATTGAAGATTCAGAATTTAAAATGCACATAAAAAAAACTCAGAGGATGGGAGGATACACCAAACAAGGACAGTAGTCAGCCTGTTGAGAAATGCTGGCCTGTGTCATCACAAATCAAGACACTGCCATGACTTGGGGCCAAACAGAAACAAAGTAGAGTGAGATGAAATCTCAATGCTGTTTTAATGTGCATTTCTCGAATGACCAGTAATGGTGAACATTTCTTCATGTATTTATTTGCCATTTGTATATCTTCATCTGAGAAATGCATATTCAACTCAGATGCCCCATTTTTGGAGAGGGTCTTTGGATTTGGGGGCCTTGATATTCTGATAAGTCCTTTATCTGAGGGACAGCTGGCTAAAATTCTTTCCTATTCTGTGGGTTTTCTTTTCACTTTGTTGGTGATTCTTCTTGAAGTGTAAAAACTTTTTAATAATATGAGATCCCAGTTTTTTAATTATTTGGAGTACTTCCAGGGCAGTTGTCTCACTCCAGAAAGAATGGCTGCCAACAAGAAATCAACTGATAACAAATGTTGGCGGGGCTGTGGGGGAAAGGAACACTGCTCCACTGTTGGGGGAAGTATAGACTGGTGCAGCCACTAGGGAAATCAACATGGAAATTCCTCGGAAAACTAGGCTTAGAAGTTCCATTCAATCCAGCTATTCACCTCCTGGGTATTTTCCCAGAAAAATTGAAAAAGCTCATGTCACAATGATATATGTGCACCCCTGTTTATAACAGCACAGTTTGTAATAGCTAAAACTTGGAAACTATCAAAATGCACATCAACTGAGGAATGGATGAAAAAGATATGGTATTTTATACAATGGAATACTACTAAGCTATACAAAAGGATTGTCTTGAGGCTTTTATAGGTAAAGGGAGGCAACTTGAGACTATCCTTATAAGTGAAATAAACCAGACTCACATTTATAAATATTGTATTGTCTCTCTACTGTAAAAATTAAATAATAGTAATAAAAAACAAACAGTAATAAGATCCAAAATGCATAATAGATATTACAATAATGAAAGGGAAAGAAAGTGCTCAAATGGAAAGAACAACTTGTAGGTATACATATATAACTGTATGTATGTTTAAGTGTGCAAGATAGATAACCGTACTACTAAGTTTTTGATAGTTCATCAAACAGAATAGTTTGTGCTGTCATTGTCTGCTCACTTTTTATGCTTTGATTTTGTAACTTGAACTACTTCTAAGATAACAATGTAATATATCAACCAGAGATGATTTCTTCTGTATCATGTCTACCCTCTTTTTCTGTTTTAGTTTTTTTTAAATAAAAAGAAAAAAGAAACAAAGTAGAAATACCTGCTCTGTCATTAGTGACAACAGACAGTGTGGAAGGCAGATTAGGAGGACAGATAGAAATTGATATAGGCTCCTGTTGCTTCAGTAACAAATTACTACAAAACTAGTAGGTTGCTTGGTTTGGTTTTGATTTGTTGTTATTGTTGTTTTGGAGAAGTTGTTTTTGTTTTTTGTTGTTTTGGTTTGGTTTTTGTGAGACAGGGTCTCACTGTGTAGTTCAGGCTGGCCTTGAACTGACTATGTAGTGGACTCAAACTCTTTCTGCCTCAGCCTCCCAAGGACTGGAACTGCAGAGGTGAACCACTGTGCTCAACTAAAGCTAGTCTAAACAGCTCACATATGTTACCTTAACTGCTCAAGAGGTCAGCACGCCTGCTGGCCTCCTTTTGGTGACCCTAGAGGAGAATCTTTCTCCTTGCCTTTCCAGCTTCAGCGGTCCACCTACATTTCTTAGCTTGTGGACCATCCAACATCTTCAAAGCCAACAGTGCAGCATCTTCTCTGTGACATCTACCTCCTTCCTTATATCCCTAAGTCTGCCACCTCCCTTTCATAAGGGTAGAATCCTTACATCAGTCTCACTGTGACAATCTAGGAACATCTCTCACCTCAAGAGCTTTCACTTAGCACTTCTGCAGAGTCTCCCTGCCATGTGAGGTGACGTATTTGTAAGTTCTAGGGATTAGGACATGAACATCTTTGGAAACGTTACTGCTCACTCTATAGGATCTATAAAAATTTCTGTTTATATATTTTGTCCCTGGCTGGTAGGACACAGCTTTGACCAGCAAAGCATCAACATGGGAATGGTCCTGATAAACAGTTATTTCTAATCCAGACAGATGGGATGAGATGGTTCTGTCTTGTCAAGGGCTTTTGAGGCATAAAGGAGACAACTGTGTCACAGTGAAGGGGAAAACTTCAGAGTGCTTTTTTTCACTCCTTTATCCATAGTGCTTTGAACAGAATAACCACTAGGCGGGCACTCGGTAAGTATTTGTTAATGAATGAAATGGACACCAGAGATGGCTTCTCAAAAGCACAGGAGAAGACTGGCCTTGCGTTAGAGGAAACAGGAAACAGTCCTAAGTAAAGCCCTGGGGATTCATGGCCAGCGCTCAAGATTTAATCTTTGGAACCAATTCCTGATAATTGTTACCAGCTTCTCAGGAACATTGGCACAGTATTGATTCATTTATTAAAAATTAAAATGATGCTGACTTAAACAGACTTTAAAATCTCAACTCATGCACAGTAATGCAATTGTCTTTTCATCCATTTAAATTTTTTTTCACAAACTGACCGATTTCTACACACGATCCAATCATTCTTTACCGCTTTGCCACGTGGTGGCGCTGCTGCAGTTTGTAAACAGACACCTGCTGTCACAGATTCCCTGGGAGCGAACAGAAAACTCCTGCCCGTGAACCTGGTGTTCTTTACACAATTTTAAAATTTTTCTTGAGCCTGAGGCAGGAGGATTGCCACAGTTGTAGGCCAACCCTAAGGTCAGCTTGAGCTACATAGATGCTGACTCAAAAAGAAAAAAAAATCCTATTGAGGGAACAGCTCACAAAATATTCAGATAACAAAAATATGAGTGATAATCAGTGATCATTTCTCTACAGTCAAGCTTGCTTTGCTTCTCTAGGAGGCCAGGAGCACACTATTTGGCAGAGTGGGCCAACAATAAGTGTTTGATGAATCAATTAACAAATGCGAACAACTATGACTACATACAGATCCCAACCAGACCATCTCATTTTTACTCCTACACAAAGAGTAACAGAAAGTTCTTGAGATCAAATTCTGAATTCTCAGGAGTGAGCTTCTGAGTGGTCCAGTTCAGGTTAGCTGCTTGTGCTTGGTGCAGTCACCTCTGATCTGGGAAATGGTGCTACCGAAGACAGAGGGCCCCAGAGGCTCTCTGTGGAATGAGGGCAATGTCAGGAAGGGGGAGGAGCAAAATTTGCTGTTTTAGCCATTCTGCGTGTCTT